CTAAAGAAGTAGCTAAAGAAATTGATGATACCAATAATCAAGTGGAATCTGAATCAACGGAGCCAATCACGGAGATATATAAATCAGAACAAGAAGAGATCCAAATCTATGATTTAAAAGATAAGGTAAATTCGAATCATGAATCACAACACTTGTCCAACGAGGAAGACCAAAGCCTAAATGTGATAACTGAATCTAAAATAATAAAAGAAGATGAAGGAGCAACGGAGACAACAGAGGAAACAGAGGCAAAGGAGACAATAGAGACAAAGGAGTTAACGGATAGTCTAGAAAATGATTGTAGTATAATAGAGGACGCGAATCAATCCGATTCCAGAGATAAGCAGGATGTAGCACCAGATGAGTCTAAACTTAGTAAACATGGGGGCCAGAGTGATGATGTATGTGAATCAGTTGAAGAAACAATCAAGGAAATGCCTGATAACGATAGTAATCAGAATAACTCGGCAACTAATGCTGAACTAACTAAGTTAGTGCAAGAAGAAACAGAGGTAGTTGTAGTAGTAGAGACTGTACCAGTTGCGACTAATGCAACAGCGGATAATTTTATCGTTACTTTAGAAGAGAAAGATGCTAATAAGGAATGCAACCAAGAAAATGTTACTTTGCAAGAAAAACAAATTGTGGAATCTGACCATGGGAACAATGAGGTTGATCTAATTCATTATAGCCAAGAAAGTGACGATACCATAATAGAAGTAACAGAAGTCATAGATGCTCCTCTTGACGAACAATATAAACAAAGTAATATGGACTATATAGATAGTAATAAATGTGATACGAAATCGATAAAACTAATCGATGGGAAAATTGCAATAGACGAAAGTGTAAATGATGAAAATATTAAAGTAAAAACAACTGATAGTAAAACTTTGATTAATTCTGGAAAAAAAGATAAAGAAGATATCACTATTATTATAGATGAGAAAATCATAATTACAGAGGTTGAGTCAGCAGTTGAATCAACAGATCTATCACAAATTGAAAATACCCATAAAAATACTGTTAAGGAGATAACTGAGCATAAACAAGATGATACCTCTGTTGACAAAGTGTTAGCAGTGGATTCATCGACGAAGAAAAGGAGCTTTATCCAAGATATATTTGACGATTGGGGTGTTGAGAATACGGATGAAGATACGCAATCAAGTTCAAAAGTGCAAGATTCTGTTGAGATCGAATTAAAAAGCCTAATGGATGAGGCAAAGACGGACCAGATTGTTTCGAATGAATCAGTTGTAACTTTCCAAGAAAAAGTCTCTTCTGCAAATGAAGAATATGATGAGACACATAATATTGTAAGTGTTGAGAAGAGTACAACGAAGCAGCCGACTGAAGAAACAGAAAATCAAAAGAAAAACAAATCTATTAATAAGGATGCAATGTCATTAAATAAAGATGAAACGAATTCTTCTGTACCATCTGTGAACAAATCTTCACGAAGTATGGATACGCATCCGGTTACGTCGCCGCACGATACTACAGTTCCTAAAAGCCGCGCTCGACATTTAACCAGTCAAATAGCGTCGCCAGCAGAAGTGACAGAAGTGTTGAAGGAACGTTTTCGCGAAAAGCAGAAGAGCGTAGAGACATCTCGCGGACCAGATATATTCTTTGTGAAAAAATTAACGCAAAGGCTGTCTAGTAAATTGGGAGGTAGCACAGTAAATCCAATACCAAAACTTATACCATTGTCACAGCAAACCGCTTCTTCAAATCCACCTCCCTCTTCTGTATCATTGGCATCAGAAAACTGTGATAAAAAGAAAGCGGGAAATACAACAACGGAAGCTGGCAAAGATAGCAATTCTGACAACAAAGAATTATTGGCCATCTTAGAGGGTGACATTGATCCTGACTGGTCTATTTTGAAGCCACCAGTTCTCACAGAAGAAAACAAAACAGCGTCAAATACTATAGAACACTCCGAACAAAGCAATCCACCAAAACTCGATCCATTAGTTGAACGAGAATTGGCGCTGAAACAACTCCTTGAATTGCCCATATCATCGTCCAAGAAGATTCCACCGCGGAAAAAGAAAACGTTCCGAGCAGCGTCTGGTAAAGCATCTAAAGACGGAACGACTGTCGCGAAAGGTTCGCTTGCTGCACAGCGAAAGGAGGCTAATATAGATTTAGCGAGTGAAAATACGCAACCAAATGCAAAATCCGTTGGTATTGATCTGAATCCTTTATCTCACGAAAAGAATCAAGAGCAGATAAGCTTACGAATAGAAGAGTCGAGATCAGGCAGAAAACGTAAACCTACCGAAAAAGCAAGGGAGCACGAACAAAATACGATAAAACGGCAGAAAGTATATAGAGGTAAAGTTTCGATAAATAAGAAACAAATGGAAGAAAAGTCCGTCTCTAGTGATAGCTCGATGATTGAAAATCATGTTGTAACGAGCGATACGACGAATGTTGCTGTAAATAATGAGAAAGTTGTTACGAAAGAAGTAGCAGGTAAACAGTCCGAGAATAAAATAGATTCGGTTTCTAATAAAATTGAAGATTCTTCTTCAAAACGGTCGAAACCTAGTCTTGCTAAAAAAGGACCGATAGCTAAGAAGAAAATGGTAGTCAAGAAGTTGCTGCGCCAAAAAGTGCCAACCGATAAGAAATCTGTTCAACTGAAAACTAAACTGACTCCGTCGCCGAAGAAGACACCTCCGAAAGCTGTCTCAAAATCGCTAAAGCGGACGCCCGAAAGTCCATCCAGTGACGTGAAACCTAAGAAGAAGAATATAAATGAGATAGATAGATTGTTGCAGGACGAAGGTGTTGTCAATTTACTATATGATGTAGAGCAGCCGGATAGAAAACGCCTGGTTCCTATCACAAAGTCACGAGCGAAAGTAATGGACTTGCAAAAAGTGCAACGTGAACTTAAAATCCGAAAAAAATTGGTTCGCAATGCTGTGTTGCGATTACGTACGTCAACAACCGCAGATGTCACGAAAGTGTCACCGAGGTCGAAGAGAACGACGATTCATACGGCTGATGTTCAAGATAAAAAGATAGAACAGGTCTCATCACCAAAAACTTCTGCATCACCTACGGAATTTATTCTTCCCGCAAAGATTCGAAATGCGGCTGATGCGTCCATTATCGTTAGGAGACACTCGTCTAGTTCATTTTCGAGTGCATCTGGAAGTCCCAGAGTTAGCGTTGATGCACCTGAAAAATCTACAGAAGCTGTCAAGTCGGAAGACGGAACAGTTCATTCGTTGAGATCTGCTAAAAAAAGACGAGATTCACAAGATGAGAAAATTAATAATACGAAAAAAAAGAAGAAAACTATACAAAAGTCCGATACCGATGTTACTGTTACTAATACCAGTATCATCTCTACTACAACTACTACAATTGCTAGCAATACTATTGCTAATAATACAGAAGAAAAAGTTAATGTCGTACGCCCTGGTAAAAAATCGGAAATTAAGAAAATGGACAAGATCGGAAAGCAACAGGAAAACATTCCCGCAGTTGAAGACAATGTTTCGAGTAAAGTTACAACCCGATCGTCGAATGGTGCAGTACCAGGCAAGGTAACAGCGAAGAGCAAAAAACTTATGAGAAGCAAAGTGACTTTTGCCAGAGCAAGTGAGCTTGATAATGCTGAGGATTCTTTGAAAAACGAAGATGAATTATCTGCTTGTCTTGCTGAAGCAGCTACTGCTCTTTCAGTTGTCAATGCCAGAAATGGTGCGACTACGCGAAAGAGCAAAGGTAAAGGTAAACACTTATATCTCAATAATATTTTTTTTTTTGTAAAATTAAAAATATAATAATTTATTTACTTTTCCATGTGAAAAAATGTTAAAATGTTAAAAATAATTTAAAAGCAATTTGATACGAACTATATGCTAAATATCATACAATATTTCAGTAAATACAAACACGATGAAAACATTGGATATAGATAGTAACAAAATGAAAACGGAAATGCAAAGTCAATTCAGTAATAAGGAAATAAATGTACGACGACATGGTAATCTTGTACAATTAATACTTACGCCATCCTCTTCGACAAAAATAAGAAATGCTCTTTCATTGCAAGTACGTAGTTTCGAGTGTAAGACAATCTCCAAACTCCGTTATAAACTGCTAAACATAATTTCTTTAATGGTATTAAGGTAATGCAAGAATTTAAAGAGGCTCTGTCGATATTAAAAAGAGATGACGAATGTAGGGTAGTACTCTTAACATCTACGGGTACAAGCTTTTGTGAAGGTCTTGATCTTTCAACATTATTGCATTCAAATAAGGATGAACGACGATCCGTCGCTCAAGAATTGGCACATGCTGTTAAGTATGTATTTAAACTTGTGTAAACACAATTTAATATAATATTTTATATAGTTGATGTAATACTTTATATATAATTTATTTTATTGAATTTTTTTTCTTTTTAGGGATTTTATAAAAAGTTTAGCTACTTTCAATAAACCTATAGTGGCTGGCGTACAAGGTGCAGCAATTGGACTTGGAGTAACAATGTTGCCTCTTTTTGATCTTGTAATCGCTAGTGATAAAGCAACATTCTGTACGCCTTACGGGAAATTAGGACAAATTGCCGAAGGTGCTGCAGTCTTTACTCTGTCACACATATTAGGCAGTGCAATTGTAAGTCGTAAGCAATTTTTTACAGCATTTATAACATTATGTGAAAATAATAGAAAAACAACATCTATACATTTCGATAGACGAGTGAACTTCTTTTGGGTGGAAGAACTCTAACAGCAAGTGAAGCATTAAGAGCCGGTCTTGTTACTCGAGTTTTATGGCCTGATCGGTTTCAAGTCGAATTATTACCATCGTTAAGGGCTATGAGTGATCAATCATCACAAGTAAGTTACATATATATATATAACAATGTTTCTTGATTTTAATTTTATTAATGCCTTTGCAATATATTTTACGAGATATATATTGTATTTTACGTACATAATATCGCTAAACTTTTAAGTTTTTTACATTTATTAAATTATAGTAGTTTTATATATTTAATAACGATAACAATAAGCCATATAAGCAGGTCCAGAATAGAGCAGTTCCTGTACATTTACTTGTGTCTTATTTTTGAAAACGCATAAATGTTTTTCTGGACATGTACATCTATAATATGTTGAATATAGATCAGATCGTATGTAGCCGCAAAACTCCAAAGTTTCACACATTCTTTTCTGCATTAAAAAGTTCAGATTCAGTAAATAACATGTTGATAAATGAAAGAATATTAAATATTACTTAGAATAAAATAAAATTATTATAAATTTTATCTATTCTTGCATGGTTCAAATATTTTTCTTTTTAGAGAGTACAGGAGAGAATTAATGGTTTTATATATTATAAATATTATACAACAAAAAGTGTGTATAAATTATGTAGATTTATGAACATGGAAAATACTTAATTAACTCGTAAAATGCAGAAACGATTTTCTCTCTGTGCATTATATTACACATATAAAATGTATACCTTGACACATCTGAATATTTGAACAATATTCTTTGTACCATGTTCTTTGTACGTGTATTTTTGCAACTTCCAGTAATGTGTTTGCGGACATACGCAATTCATTGTCACGTTGTACGGTATTATATAATTATTATTTGTATCACCTTCTCCATGTACTATCACTGCCTCTTGTTTGTGCGCGCATGTCTCCAATTCCGTGAATTGCGTACAGAACTGTATCAGGAAACGTAACTGTCAGAAATGTTTAAAGAAAGATATTTTTTTAGATACTTATTCTTCTCGATATACCTTCAGAATGGATTTATTATTGAGGAACATGGTTGAATTATCAAAAGTTTGTGTCCATTGCCACGGACACTCGCTCCCATTGGGACAGTGACAAAGCCTTTCCGTTAATCTAGGCATCCAAAATCGATCATGAATTACATTGCATACCTCGTAAGGTTCACAGTTGTGTAAATCGCTTTCTCCTTCAACCTGTTTTGATTCAAGAAATGTGTCGTTTATGCCGTTATTCATTTATAAGAACTACATTTATATAGTATATTTTCATATACGAACTCCTTTCATATACTTGAACGTAATATTATTAGCTTTACTGCTAATTGTCGTGTATACACTGACACTTGCGCTTATCAGAGAAACGAAGAAACAAATTTTGATAAACATATTTACAATCGTGTGCATACTTGACTGCGCTAGATCCGATTGTCATAAGCAAGATTGTATTAACGCAAATGGCAGCAATAATGCTAGTATATTCTTGATTCTACGTGTGCACCCACATGACTCGTAATTACGAAATATTTTAATATTCATGGCATTGAAGCTTCGCTTCATTTGTAAGATACAGAAATATGGGCATACGATAAATCAAAGTGTTGATAATAAAAACTATGTTTTCTGCAATATTGCACATATTTTAATAAATTTGATAAAAACAGATAAACAGATTTACAAAGAAAATAAAAGAAAGTATTTATATAGGATATTGTAAAATGAGAGAATCGTTTCTGTATATGTGTACAACAATTATAATTTTTTACACTAATTATTTTTTTAAATAAAAAAAAATCTTTTTTTTTCAGTCTATGGAGGCAACAAAGGCTCTGCTACGTCATAGTCTACGAAAAAAATTAGATGCCGCACTTGAATCAGAAACATACTTACTAATACAACATTGGTGTTCCATAGAATGCCAGACTGCTATAAAGGCTTACATTGATGGAAAAATTGAATAAACGACAGTAAGCCATTCTTATACATGGTAAAATATTACAATTTATATACGTATATATATACACACATTATAATTTATTATAATGAATTACTTATTGTGAAAATATTAATTTCAGTGTACTACTGTTTAATTGTGGTTTTGCAATCCATGTTAAAGGTCAGAAGTGACAGGTTCGTGAATATTGATGAAGATAATAATACAAAAATCGACATATAAAATCGATGTCATATAAACAATTTTTGATGCGACATTCTACGTCAATGCACTGTATAAGATATAATTTAGATATAAGATATAAATATTGAGAATCACTCAAAAAGATGGACTATTTTATTATTAGATCATTTAGATATAAATTTATTATTCATAAATATATATGTATATATATTTACATATATATGTATATGTATGTGTGTGTGTATGTGATATATATGCATATATTCTTCTGCATTATATTATTGTTAGATTAAAATAAAGGTACATTCATTGTAAGAATCAAATTAAATTTCTGATATATTGTATTATTTTATCGAATTCATTGGCTTGTATGAATTTATATGTTTTTGTGAAGACTTGTGCGATTGTTTAAAAAGAAGTTCGAAAATTGCACATAAACAAACTTCACAATTCAAACAGCCAATGGATCTATTTTTTTCCTTGTAGAACAACATTTGTGCATGAAATTTTCGCAAAATTGACAAGTATTTATTATTTATTCGGAAGAAATGGCTACGAACACAGAACTGGAAAGGCCATGTACTTATGAGTTTTCCAAAGGCTTTGGCACTGGTGCGGCAGAAGCGCTTGGAAACTGGGGCTTTTCTAACAGAACCTGTAGCGCCGGTCAAGAGTTACAACGTTTAAAATGTCTCTTTGCAAAAATGGATTCTTTGTGAGGAAAATATACATTTTATTCAACGACAAAGGCTTAAATTGATGAATTGCTGGTCTTAAGGAAAAATTCGACTAGAACCGTACAGAAATAAAAGAAACGCCTTGATTAATTTCAGACGCAGCGCTGATAAACCGATGATGTGTGTTAAATACGATCGTAGATACGATCCTGAAGCATGGTATGTTAAGCCTAGTCCTGATGAATGTAAACCAGCGTGGACATTTCCTGTAAAGAGGCCTCTGATTACTTACTGTTCGACCACTACAATTTTGAAAGTTTCCAATATGCTTGAGATCGGAGGGGACTTAAAGTTTCATGCTCCTGGCCGCAGCTTTGTTCACCAGGGTGTATGTATACACTCTTTTAATCAGTTTAATCATTTAAAGCGAACCAGCAGAATTTTTATTACAGATCGATATATTATCATATAAATTTTGGATATATATATTGTACCTTATAGTAGATACTCTATATAATTATATAATTTACTTTTAGACGGATAAATGGTATCGTGGTTCAAACTGTTGTTATCAACCTAGCTGTCTAGCTCCGCAATGTCCTGTACGATACTCTTGTGAAAGTTAATTTTTAAAATTTTTATATAATTGTAATCGTACTTAATGGCAATGATAACGTCAAACTGAATATTTATTTCTGATTTTTTTCTAGTAATAAAATGTAATATTTGCGCAATATATATATACATATATATATACATATTAAATTCTGAAATATGTTAGTAATTAAAAAAAAAATCGTGGTGGAGGAATCAAGGTATAAGGACACAAGTGACGATGCAATTGAGTTAACAAAAATTATATCTGAGAGCAATGAGGTCGTATAATTTATTTTTTTTGTTTTACTTTAACAAACACAGTGTTCCGAGCTTTTGCGCGTTGCGTGAGAACAATTACATTATCGAATGGTGAGGCAAGTGATTTAACTGACCGTCACTGTAATATTTTCACTCTTTGAGCTGATATATATTGATGAATGGAGTATCTCTAGATACTAGCTAGCGTTACAACAATGTACACTAATTCGAATTCCTTAAATAGAAATCGATCTACACAAGTAGCATTTTGTAAGATCCTACATAAGGAGCTCTGTGCTGACTTTGCGATGACTCTGCATAAAAGCTTTCCCTCGGGATTCTTATGTACAAGAAAAAATATACAAAAAACTGAATTGATATGAGTCATGGTACAATATAAATATGAAAACTGTCCGAAAACGACGTACGATTTACGCGAGTCAATAATATATGTTATACGAGTTATTAAAAATATATACTTATGATATCTTAAGCAAGTAATATACATATCGTAATGTATAAATTAAGACTAGATAGAATATCGGAGACCTTATCTACTTCTACAATATAATAATCGAGTGTGTGACTGAAGTATAACTTATAAACTAATTACGCAATAACATGCGGCACAATAACGGCTGAAAGCGTACTGGCAAGAAGAAGAGAGCACATGGTATTTTGTTGACATTTCATTTTTTTTCCACATATTTTGCCTTAAGTCGGGCATAACACTGAAATCGGAATAGCAATTTTGTAAGTACTTTTCAAAAATGCCTATCGATCATGATTTATAACGTTCGAGTTGAAAAATTGTTAATATTTGCAATAGGATTTAGTAAAATTGAATTGAAAATCTAATTACCTTTGAGTATATAATCTGTTAGTAAAGTGGGTACTGTCGGGCTATCCTCGCTAATGGCCTTTAATACTGCAAATGAACATATACATTGATATATGTAATTAGATACAAAATATAATTAAATACTTACTTTTGATAAGTACTTGCAAGGCTTGATTGTCTGGCGGACCACTGTCTGTATGATATGGAATAACGGTCGTCAGGTACTGTAATAAAAATGAAAATTTTTATTTTCTCTAAATTGTACAATTAAATTACTGAAAACTGACTTTTTAAATTTAAAGATTTAATTTTCTGTAAAAGAGTATTCATAATTTAATGGTTAATAGATGAATGCGTAAAATGTTTACTATGTAAGTGCAATTCTATACAGTGGTATACCTTCGGCTCCTGCAAAGACCTATGTTGTGGTAACGGACTAGTACCATTCGGCATTTGATTTCTTTTCTTTGTAACATGATGCTGCCTACGTCGATTTTGCACAGCCAATAGTAAAGAGATAAACTGGTTTTTTAGTTCCTTTTCATATTCTAATTCGTCTCGAAGCGCAAGCTCTGCGATCAGTGTTTCGCTCAAAGCCGCAATCAAGGATTCCATTTCTCCAAGAAGTTCAGTCAGTTGGCTGGAGGAAAGTTGCTTTAATTCTAAAAATACATTCAACATTTTATGTTTTTATTTTAAAAATTAATTAATTTCTATCATTAACAAGAATACTTTTATGTCATATAATTATTATTTCAAAACATACTTTTTTCATGAAGTGGTGATCCAAGTACTTCTCTACTTCTTTCCAAAGCCTCATCGCTGTCCAATAAAGAACCCTCTGAATCTGGCGATCTTTCCATTGACGGACTTTCCTACGGCGATGACGAGATGTAAAATTATTAATCATTTATTTAGTCATTATTACATCGGTAAGAATACTTGATTGCGCCAAGGTTATACCTGCATTATGTCATCTATCTCGCGAAGAACTTCCTCTGCAGTCTTCAGCGGTTCTTCCGGACTGTGAGTATCGGTACTGCTGGATAAGATTAAAGCATGCATGTCCAAATCTGTGGCAACTGCCTCGTCTTCGCTACTTAAATCTTCCAGTTCGGGTCTACAGAGATAAAAAAACGAAAATATTGAAACGAAAGTATGAATTTACGAATGTTAGAGTCAATGTGAGGAAGCGAAATCAGAAAATTTGTTTTTAAAAATGTGTAATCGCTGCAAAGTAAACTTTCCACAAATAATTATATTTGTGACAAATAATAAAATGTGGCAAAAAATAAATGTATCTACCTTTCCGTCGAAGTAGGTGCTTCGTTCAAATTCAAAGCGGGCATATGCATTTTCCGCGCGTAGGATTTGCTCCAGTCGATGGGTAATATATTCCCGAAAGTTCCGGTAATCGTCCACCACATCCTGTAAAAAATACAATGTTGAACATATACTGTTATTAACACGCAAAGAATCTCTTGACATTTTCTAAGGGCAATTGTTTGCTTGATCTTAGCAATCGCTTATATTAAAGGCTTAATATACGTAATTTATTTAATATAAATAGATGTTGAATCTTCAGATGACTCATATCCTCTAATTCATAGTATTCTCTAGTCGAGGAAATTAATGTATTATACTTTAAATATACCTATGTGTCATCGACTTTTATCTGCTGAATGTTTCATTTAGAATTACCGCATTTTCCTCTGTTTTATTTTAATTTTTATTTGAAAAATTCTAAAGCATGTAGTTGATTTTTTGTAACAAATCTATACAATTTTCTGAAATGTATAAGAGGGAATTATCTTATAGCTTTAATTTCAAAATTACATAAATAATCGAAAATACATAATGATGTTAACTATTTTATTAATACCAAGATAACGAGATTATTTCAGAACATTTTTTAAAATCTTTATTTTATTTTATTTTTCCTTCTTTCACAATTTTTTTATTCTGATAGATAAATATTTTTTGCCAAGCGCTTTTGTGTAAATAGAGCGGACTAAATTGAGTCGAAAAGTCTTTTATTATTTTGCAATTTTCATAATAATTAACAAGATATTAATTACTAAAAATCGCTGAATATTAGTTTCCAATAATTTTTTATTCAAATATTATCAACTTTACAGAAAAACAGCAAGAAACAAAAACTACTTATTTTCTTCTTATACAATTCTTAAAAATTTTTTCAGAATCTTTAAATATCGCATTTTCTCATGCTGGTAAAAATAGTTGCCAACAAGAAAATGTAGTATTAAAAAAATTGATAAAAAATTCTTAAAGCTCTATAAGAAAATAAATAATTTTTATCTCTTGCTGTTTTTCTGTAAAGTTGATAGTGTTTGAGTAAAAAATTATTGAAGACCAATATTCGGCAATTTTTAATTAATATCTCATTAATTATTGCGAAAATTACAAAATGATAGAGGATTTTTCGACTCAATTTAGTCTCCTCTATCTATACAAAAGCGCTTAGCAAAAAATTGAGGGACACCCCCTGTATTTTCTAATTTTCTCTCTTTTTCTCTTTTTGCATATATACAATGGATAAAGAAAATGTTTGCTCATAGAGATGTCATAACAATTTCCGGTGTCCATCTAAAGGTTAATGAGGACGTATGATAGAAATGTCGCGTAATTTTATCGTGAAGGACATGATTTACGAGATATTACAAGAGCATGACGTGTAATGCGCGATCAATAAATGCAGATGTTCCAATGAGGATGATATAATGCCACGATATTATCTATTGAGTCGTGCTAATGTGTGTTGTTCTATAATGTAGAAACACGTATTTGGAACGTTCTATATATGGTTGTCGTCAGAGACAGATTTCTCATTCAGGAGGAGTCTTCGTCTTTTTAATATCGTGCCTGTTTATATCATTAATATAATATCCGTAAGCACATTCTCATTAGGACACATTTGGGACACCCTCTATGGTGATGAGAGCGACAGACTTTCTAGGACGCCGCGTGAATCATTGCAGGCTGTGGGCGTTTCCTGCGTTACGCATTGTACGTGTACGCACTGCATAGATAAGACGTTTAATCAAGTGCAAACAAAACGTAAGTCAACGACGTTACGCCGATAACATGTTGTTTTCTAAAGGAAGTAATTTTTCATGCGAAGAACGACCAGAGCGAAGAATCCTCGCGGCGCGAATTTGCGAACAATGTAGTCTCGTGGGAGCCGAGCAGCAAAAACGACATTCAGAGACCTGTAATATCCTCAGGAACTGAAATATCAATCGATCATTAACTTCCTTTACTGCTTTCCCTTCAAATGTCCTCTCGCAGTCGATGGGCGACAGAAACCATGTATTTTAAAAGTCGACTAAAGCTCTATCTCTTTCTTAAAATATCTCTCATTGTCAGTTCCGCTAAATATTCGCGTTTAACGAATCTTCCCTGTACTTTCTCCAAGTGTTAAATGGAACAGTCGACAGAAAGATTGCAATTTTTTATTTTTCTATTAATCAATATTTCTCAGAAAGTTCAAATCAGTTTTTACTTACATATGAATTCTTTAGACTCAAATGTAAAATATAAATAAATTAAAATATAAATTAAAAGCTTCTAATTTTTGTTTAAGAAAATGGTATAAAGAAATATTTTAAGCAAGTAAAATCATTAAAATCTATATTGGGAATATGGAATATTTCGGCGTTTATTTTGTTCAAAACTCGCACGTGTCTGTATATATGTACTTATTATGTGTAGAAAAAAGAAAACGGCAGCAATATGAAATAGTCGACGCATTGATCGACCATTTGATGTCGTGGGTTAATAAATCGAGGTCAACTCAATCCACTTGAGTCCCTGATTAATGTAAAGTGGCTTTATCTCCAGTGTACACGTTGTTCAGATCGAAAAGGCCAGACATTTTTATACCGCATGGTATGTACGAAGTCAAGCTAATTTTTAATCTTTGAACGTTCGCAAAAATCACAGTGAATAAGAAAGGATAAAAGGAAGCTGAGTGATGTAAAATTAGCTTAATCTAAAAAAAATGGGGATTTCGCAATTTTGCACAAATAGCTCTTATCAGTTCTTCTAAATTGGCTTGCTTCCTAATACAAAAATCACGAGAGAGAGAGAGAGAGAGAGAGAGAGAGAGAGAGAGAGAGAGAGAGAAAGAGAGAGAGAGAATATTAAAAAAATTATAGGATCTTTTCTTAATTAAAATCAGATAAATTTTCATATATATATATATACATATATAGCCTTCGCGTATAAATTTATCCCCGTAACACCCCGTAAATGTGATCGCTGCTATCTGAAGCGCGTGCGCGCCGATATTGACGTTCGCCCTCTGTTTGGAGGGTGGTGTAGCTCGATACGAACGAAGGAGCAAAACAGAGATTAAATTTTCATGTCATGCGTTTTCATCAGTATCAAAATATTTATGAAACGTTCAGTTAAGGAAGTGACTCCAAACTTCTGTCTGTCGAATCAGAAATCTGACGCAAATCAATTAATGAAATAAAAAGAAAAAACACATTTTGTATA